CACACACTAAGACTTACTACAAACACAAATGCAAATCAACCCAGGAATACTTTTTATATGGGCTATATGGTGAATCACATTTTAAAGGGTCTACTGGGCTAATAAATATGAAGAAATTCATTTCATTTGTTTGCCTTTACTTTTATTTCATGTGACTTCTGGAAATGTGTGAATTCACATGTGACCCACATTCTATTTTTATAGGAAAGAACTTTTTAAAAATGTTTCTGGGTTCCCATTTCTTTTGTGTATGCACCAGATTTAAAAACATTTCAAGTAGTCTTGGCTGGGAGAAATGACACATCATATTCCACTCAAAGACACATGAGGATAAGTGACTATGAGGGAAAGAAAGGCCAATGCTTCCAAAGGTAGAATTTCACTTTCCAGTCCATTGAATGAAGCTGTAGTACAAGTCTTTAGAACACTGGAATATTCCCAGATTGTAGCCACATAAAAGAAAATAGTTCCTAATGAAGATACCCAGCACCCCTTCTGCCTCTCCACAAACACAGACAACATCTCTTCTCAGTGTGAGTATTTGTAAATAGTCACGTCTCACCTATCATAAGGAGAGTTTCAGAATGGAAGAGAGAGCTCAATGGGGTGGAATGCAGGTTTTGCATTAGGAGCCCCTAAGCATGGCTGGAAGTAACTCCCGAGCCCTGAGTTGGGTGGGTCAATTAAAGAACAGCAAACAGAGATGTGTTCTGAGGTGCATCCATCCTGAGGAACTACACCCGAAGCTGAGCAGAGGTAGGTACATAGGGGAGCCTATGAGGCTTGGCTGGCCAGCTTGATGAGGATGATTTGCAGAGATTCAGGAAAACCTGCTTTGTCAGGAAAGAGCCAGAGTCTGAACAAAAGAGCTTGATGAAAGCTTCGATTTTTTTTCTTTTTGGGTCACACCCAGCAATGCACAGGGGTTACTCCTGGCTCATGCACTCAGGAATTACTCCTGGCAGTACTTAGGGGACCACATGGTATTCTAGGAATCAAACCTGGGTGGGCCATGTGCAAGGCAAATGCCCTACCCACTGTGCTATTGCTCCAGCCCCAAAAGCTTCAATTTTGAAAAACCATCGTTCTCTTCTCCACCACATCACATGCGTGTGTCCCCCATTGGAGATGCACCCAAGCATCCCATCTCCCATCCACCTCACATAGGTCCTTACTCCCCCCATGTGTGCCTTCTTTTACTCCTGCAGGGGAGGATGGTACATTCCTCAAGGTCAAAAAGCAAAGCTTATATATCTTTAGAGCTGCTTATTACATCCAGGGCAGTGTCACAGATCAAATGTCCAATGATTATTTAAGAAAATTAATTAAGGGGCCAGGGGGGAGGGAGAGATAATATAGGGGTTAAAATCTATGCCTTACAGGGGCCAGGCCAGTTAGATCTTAAGCACCTTGTGGTCCCTTGAGCATTATGGGGTGTAGCTCTGGTGGTTCCCAGCACTGTAGCTCCATATCCTCTGACTCCACAATGAACGGTTTGATCTGGTTGATCAAGAATTGCTAAATGGCTCTAAGACCCTCAGAGCACTGCTTTAGGAGGTATCCCTGCAAATTAATTCACAAATTGAATCTGCCAATCCCCATGCCCCTTATTTCCAGCAGGAAAAATGGAAGAATTCTAATTTCCAATCCTTCAGGGACAGAGGTGACAGTTTGCCTCCTATCTTTCTACCATCCATTCCCAGCGTGTTTCTCTTTTTTTCCCCAGAATCTTACTACCAACTTAGAGTGACAAGATGTTCATTGGTGCTAAGTTGTACTGGGCTCTTACTACCAACTAGCATCTTGTCTTTGAGAATTTGAGTTTTTGACTTGCTTGCCTGGAACCCATGTCTCTCCCCCTTCCACCCCCCCCCCCCCGCCTCCCTTTCACACCTTGGGGATCTAATGATGGTGCCTTTCACCATGAGAGTCCCTAGATATGATGACCCTTGATGAACAGCTATCATCATTGGCCCTTCCAGATACAGCTCTATAACTTAACTGAAAACCATTTTATTTTGCTCAAATGGTCAAAGAAACCGGAAATGTATTTAATAAAGACTTTCCGAAGAAGTTGAGAGTTCTGGCATGAATTATCAATATTCCTGACTTTTCTAGACTAAGAAATAACATATAGCCACTGTGACTTTGGAGGAGGGTAAACTGAGTTTGGCAGGAGCTAGAGACTTTCTCCGACCAGGAAAAAACAGATGGCTATTGACTCAAAGAAATGTGCAAGGCCTTCTCTCTCTGTCTTTGTCTCTTTCATTTTATTGCCAGACCCTAAATTTACCACCACTTTCTTCCAGTGATTAGTCTGGAGGAAGATTAACCTTGCCCTCTGTGCAACCTAAATTGCAAGCACATTGTGTTACATTATCTGCCTGGGTTGGATTGCTTCTGCAAAGGTATATCACAAAGTGGCCAAGCTCTATTCTTTCCTCTCTTTTATAGCTGTGGCTGGAGGTTGTATTTAATTTCTAGTTCTAATCCCTTTACTAACCCAGAATTAACACTACTCCTTCTCTGCTCTCAAGACAGAAAATCCTGTATTTTTCAAATTATATAACTCTTGCCAATTCTGGTCTATTTCCATGGAGAGTGAATGCCACCGCCAACATTCTCAGCCCCCGAGAATCTCCACTTTAACCTAATAAGCAGGCTGATCCTTAACGATACTTGCAGGTTAAAAGGAAAACTTAGAGAGGCGTAAGTAGGACGAGGCTCCCACAGCAGAGGAAAAAAAAAAAGCTTCATTTTTATCTCCCCAAACTGTTTTAGTTCCCTGGTCTCTTATTTATAAGATGAAACCTATGTAAGTGTTCTGAGAATAGGTTAGCTATTCTTTGAACACATAATACAAGTGTCTGTGTGCTGTAACTGTTTCTGGACTGACGCATGGACCTCATAGCATGTGTGTCCACGTGCACTTACCCAAGAGTGTTAATCAGGAAGAGGGGACCATGAACTGCTCCTCTGTTTTAATTTTTATGTTTTGTTTGTTTGGGGATCGCAGCCAGTGGGGCTCAGGGATGTTCCTCAGGAGGTTTGGGGTATCATATGCAGTGTCAGCCTGGGCCTTCTGCATACAAGGCATGCTCTCCACCCATTGAACTGTCACCCCAATCATCTTCATGTTATTTTCATTGTTATCGCAGCCACTCCTGGGGGTGTGGGTGCAGTTGGTGCTAGGGGCAAGAAGCTCCCACAGGCTTGTGTGGAGTGGGTGCAAGGATTGACTCAGGGCCTTACACATACTGGGTGGGCCAGGGGGATACTCTAGCACTGGTGCCTCATCATGGGCCCCATCTCCTGCTCTTTCTTATTCTCTAGGTGTACATTGTAAAAAAGTTCAAGTTCTAAAATAAGACTGATTTTTGGGGCTGGAGCAATAGCACAGCGGGTAGGGTGTTTGCCTTGCACGCAGCCAACATGGCCAACACAGGTTCGATTCCCAGCATCCCATATGGTCCCCGGAGCACCGCCAGAAGCAATTCCTGAGTCCATGAGCCAGGAGTAACCCCTGAGCATCGCCGGGTATGACCCAAAAAAGCAAAAACAACAACAAAAAAAAGAGACTGATTTTCAAAGAATAATCTTTATTTTGAAATAAGTGTTGAGTCATAGAAACTGTAACAATTCAGGGATTGGAGAGACAATACACATGGCAGACCCTGGTTCAAACCCTGGCATCACTTTTGGTCACCACTAACAGGAGTGATCCCAGAGTATGGTAACCCAAAACACGGGTCTCCTCTGCCCATCTCCCCCACCTCCCCCCTTCTTCCCTCCTGCCCCCACCCCCCCCCAAAAAAAAAGGAAGGAAGAAAGAATGGAAGGAGTTTAGAGATATTTCTTACAGACCTGTTACCCAATCAATTTCCCCCAAAGGTAACTCTTGCATAATTGTAGCACAATACCACAGCCAGGAAATCCACATGAAAATCATCCTAGGGCTTTCTTCAAATGCTACCCATTTCACCTGCTTTCATTTGTTTCTCTGCAATTTCTGTCCCAAGTGTGGGACAGAAATTTTTTTTGAATCGCAGCTCTGTTTAGCATTAGCTGTGTGGTCAGGGCAGGCTCCCAGAGGGCTAAGGCCCAGCTTCCTCTTCCGCACAATGCAGTGGTGTCTGCAGCTGGGGTGAAAATTTAGAGCAACATCTTATTAAGTGAAGTTCCCAATCAATCCCATTTTCTCCGGGGTCAGGAGCGGTTCTCCGGTTTCTTGCCGAATTAAGCGGACAAAGGGGTCATCATAATCAGGAGGTTCCTTCTTCAAGGGCGATACATTTATCGCCTCTTTTGAACTGGGACGTAGAGTTCCTGCTTACCACCAGGTTAGAAGAACGGGAACTCTGAACCGTGAAGACTTGGGGCAGGGGGTGAGGGCCGCAGTGGGAGGGTGGAATCCCGTGGCGTCGGAGGAAGAGCAACGAGCACCACGCTAGTTAGCCCAGTAATAACCAACTGCAGGAGGTTTAGGTGTTGTGTGGCTGATGTCCCGGGGGTCTCACCTACCCGCAAAACACTAGTGTGGGCACTTTCGAGGACTAGGTGGGCAACTGCGGGTGCCCAAGGACTGAGAGATCTGGGGTGCACAGAGGCCAGAGAGCCCGCATCTTCATTTTCCCGGGACCAGGCGCGGACTGTCGGGGTGCCGAGGAGATGCGGGTGCGCGTGGAAAGGGGAGCGAGGCGCGCGGGGGGTCGCGGGGCCCTGCGCCCCGCGGGTCCTGTCCTCTCCGTTTTCGTTATCGCCGCCTCCCGGTCAGGTTACCCAAGGGGCCCGCGGGACCATCCCCGTCGAAGAACCGGGGAGATGGGTTGGGGTGCAGAGAACGAACCCCGCGGGGGCTCCTCCCTCGGCTAAGCCTGTGGCGTGGCCGCGGAGGAGGAGGAGGAGGAGGAGGAGGAGGAGCCGCGCCCGGGCCGCTGCCGCCGCCGCGCTGGCTCCTCCTCCCCGCGCGGGCCTGGTTCCTCCCCGGGCGCCGCGAGCAAGGGGTGGCGGCGGCCGAGCGGGGACCTGAGCGCGCCCGCACCGCGCTGCAGCTGCCGCTCCCGCCGCCCACCCAGCCTGCGTGCAGCCGCGGTCATGGGTCCCGTCGCGGCGCCGGGCCCCTGAACCCCGGGACGCGGTAAGCCGGGGCCAGCGGCAGCCGGCGCCCCCCACCCCCACCTCGCTCCGAGGCCTCCCGCGGGGGTCCCCGCGCCGTCGGCGGGGCCCGGGGCGGAACCCCGCACCCGGACGGACGGGCGGCCGGTTTGTCGGCTTTTTCCAATTTAAGTCGCGGCTCCGGACCCGGGTGGGCGCTGTGTCCCCGAGGGCGAGGCGCGCGGGCGGGATGGGGGGTGCGGGGCCCGGAGGATGCTCCCGCCGGAGCCCGCGGGGAGGGGGCGGCGCGGGCGGAGCTGGGGGCGGGGAGGCGGCCGGGAAGCCGCGCCGGGCTCGGCGCGAGCCCCTTACATATGGAAATGACGCTCGCGCGGCTCTCCCGTCGCGTCCTTTTGAAGGACGCGCGCCCAGAATCGCGGCGCGGGCTGCAAAGTACCGAGGCGCTCGCCGCGCCCTAACAAAGCGCACCCCTTCGCCTTGCAGAGCGCCGGAGGCGGCCGGCGGGCCGGCGCGGCACCCAGACGCCGACTGAAGGTAGGCGGGGGCGGGGGACCCGGGTGGGGGTCGTGTGCGGCGGCGGGGCGTGCGCGGGTGCTCCGAACGGGGACGCCTCTTCACCCCAGATTGCCAGGGACGTGGGCCGCGCGCGCCACTGACCCGGCCGCGCCTCCCAGCTCCAAAGCAGGCCACTCCGCCTGCTGCCCGCTCGCAGCCTCGGGCTGCAACCGCTGTCGCGGGCGGGTTCCTAGCGGACTTGCATCCCCGAGGGGGCGGACAGGGTGTTGGTTGTTCAGTTGCCAAGTTGGGAAGCTGTAAAGAGGGGTGGTGTGTGTGTGTGTGTGTGTGTGTGTGTGTGTGTGTGTGTGTGTGTGTAGAGTAAATGACAGGAGGGTAATTCCTAGAGCGGGATCAAAGTGTGGAGTGTTGCAGGAGAAGGTTCCAAGCCCCTTTAGGGGCTTCTGTAGCCTTCAAACCAGCCACCCGTCAACGCATAGAACTGTTGTGCTTTCCTAAGGAGAGCTCTTTCAGCCAAGTTGAGGGAAGATAGAGATGGGGGTAGAGGCGTTTCCCCAGTAATGTCAGACTCTACCAAGAGTATCTCGCCGACAAAGCCTGGCAAGCTCCCCGTGATGTATTCAATATGCCAAAAACAGTAACAACAAGTCTCACAATTTGTTGTGAGATGTTACTGGTGCCCGCTCAAGCAAATTGATGAACAACGGGAGGACAGTGCTACAGTTAAAGTAGAAATAAAACAAAGGCTGGGCTCCTGAGAGATATAGTACTGAGGGTAGGGCCCTTGGTTTGCACACAGGGTGATCTGGTTCCATCCTGACATCGCATACAGCCCCCTGTGCCATTCCAGGAGTGATCCTTCAGCGCAGCTCCGTGCAGCCAAAAAATAAAAACAAGCAAACAAGGGGGGGAAAAGGGGAAGAAATCCTGACTTCTGATTACTGTTTGGAAAAATAAAACAGGAGTTGGGGAGAGTTTTCTGAACAGGTTAACTGTTGAGGTCTTTTGCTTGCTTATTTGAGATGGGCTTTCTATGCACCTTAATTCCTGAATGTGTGAGAAACCAAAGCCAATTGCAGAGTTGCCTTTTGTCACAGACTTGGTAGCTTTTTATCGTTAGAATCTTGATCAGGTCCATTGTGGCACATGGAATCAACTCCCTAGATGGAATATAAGATTTCTCCCTTGGGCTCCCTTAAACCTGTTGACATAAATGTCTGTCTTACTTGTTTCCAGCGGCTTGACAACCTGCAAAGAAATGTGTTTTCATTTTCGATGTCAGCTGAATTTTATCTTGTCTTCTCTCATGGTTACCATGTTGGTGTCTGACTTGGGATATGGGGACATCTTGCTCTTCCATAGAGGAGGCTTGAAAACTCCCAGGCCATGTGTCACCCTCACCTTGCAGGCTGTGAATCTGGTTTCCTTTGATCTCCTCAGCTGTATGTCAGCATCCTCAGGGAGCTGAGGTGAACTGCAGGGAAGTTGGGCGAGGATTTGTTTATTTTCACCGGATCTCTGGTGCTGCTTTAGATGAAAACATTCTGAACCAGAGCACAGATAAAGGGTAGGACTCTGGGATGTGCCAGATGGAGTGGGCCATCAGCAAAGATAATGTCAAGGCAAGAGAAAGCTTTACAGGGGGTAACAAAAAGGAAGCCATCAAAGCCTGATTTCTACATTAAAATGTCAAAGATCAGTCATTTTAATAGGCACTTACTCAAAATGGCACGGGTTTCTTTTTTCTTTCTGTTTAAAAAAGATTTTAGATATGTAATGGCCCTTAATATCAAAAGATGTTAACTGTCACAGTGGGGGGGAGGGAGGAATGGGGCTCCAATGAGTTCAGAGCAGCCCATCTTTATTTAATAGGCAGTATTCTTATCATAAGTCAAATGTTGCTCCAGAAGATTGTTTTAAATGTCATTGCAAATGACTTTCTAAACTAACACTTCACCAATTTTAAGATTTTCATTTTATGTTGATAATGATAATACACTTTATCTGTTTTACATTGATAATGGGTTGGCACATTTAGCTGAAATGTTTTAGAGGGGTTCAAATGGCCTAAAGTCTTTTCAGGAGATTTATTTTTATGAATGCCAATTCATTTGTAAGCCAATAAATTATGTGGCTTGAAATCTGGCTATTGAATGTACATCTGTTTGCAGGGGCTTATTGAGAGATTTTCTGAAGCCTTCAGGAAGATAGTTTTATCATATTTATAAATAATTTTTAAAAAGTATTATGAAATCAACAAACAAGCAACTTTGAAATTAGGTTGCTTCTTATTGCAATTTCTTTTTACAATTAGTCATTTACTTAAGGATTTTACAAAGCATTTATATTCTAATTCTTACTTAATAAAATACAAAGTTGAGAAAATAATGTTTACAGATGTGAACAGAGTAGCCTTCTGTGTCTGTCCCAGGAAACTATACTCTTAGCTGCAGGTATTCTAAATTAATTTGAGTAAACATGGCTCAAGAAGTAAAAGTGGTTGTCAGCAGTTTCTTTTAAGAAAGCAACAAATATGTAGTTCTGTTTTCTACTTCTGTAATTTTGCTTAGTAACTGATTATAGGTTATTGAATCCACAGTGTGCTGAGCTGATTATTTCATTCTTCCAGCCATCCCGAGTTAACTACTTGACTGGGCAGTGTACTTAGCTGTCAGCTTTAACAAAAACTTGGGTTTCTTGCTTCATTTAGGATAGTAAAATACAAATGCTTATTCATGTTTTGGGAAGGATGATAATTGTATTAAGTTTGTATGGAGTAGTTAGCAAGGTTTGTTATTTTCTTTCAGATTTCTTTAATGTGACTTTCCTTTGCATTTGCATGTAAGCCGTGGTTACTTGGTGGTACAAGAACAGAACTATTGTTGGCTTTGGTATATAGCTAGAAGTGGGATGTTGTCTGAGAAGAGAAGAGGCCTTCGGATAAGTCTGCTGAGCAGCTGTTTTTAGCAGAAATACAGAGACATGTTACATCGGACAGTTTATTATGCTCTTGCTAAACTTGAATTTTTTCCTTGACATAAATTTACTTCATAATGAAATTAGCCCCAAATGGTAAGCCTGAAAAAATCTTTACAGCAATGAGTTTGCAGAAAAGAATGAAAAAAATAAACATTTTAATTTGATCATTGATATTGCAAGGCTGTGACTTGCCAAATGATGAAAGCAAAAGGCATGAATGAGAAAAGCCGAGTCTGTCCAGTTCTTCTCTTTAGTTATAAAGTAACAAAATTAGTTCCTTGGTGGTCATTGCCTGATCCGTGGACCCCCCAACAGCTCTGTGTGAACATTGATCGCAGAGTATCTATTATGATACAGGAGGAAAGCAGGGTGCCAAGAGGGGCAAGCAGACATTGGTGGAGCTGCTCAGCTGCTGGGCCATCTGGACGGGAGATAAAAGGCCCGGGCTGGGGGCTCTGGCATTGTGTATATTTATTATTTGATTTTCCTTTGCCAGATTTTGTCCCCTTTCACTCCCTCTGGCCCAGAACAGACACTTCCTTTGGATGGGGAGCCATTCTTGCAGGCTCCTTTCTCTACCTCAGACGCTAGAAAGTTCACAAGTTCACGTATCTGCTGCATGCGGGCCTTGTGTGACAGTCTTCATTACTCCAGCTGCACCCCCTCTGCTCTCCCTAGAGCCTGCTGGCACTGGAATTTCATCAGCCACTATTGCACTACAGAGTGAAGCACAGCACAAATCTGTAATCGCCAGCCCCTTTGGGGTCTGTGTGTTCTGACAGCTTTATTGTGAGTTATTTGGAAGGAAGATGCTCAGAATAGTTCTTGTGATGAGTGGTTACTGGGTAGTTGGTGTTTTGATTGATGACTCTATGCACTAGCCTCTCATTTAACCATTGCCAGTTAGTACTCTGGAGTATTGCCCATTTTGTACCTGTGTGTCCAAAGATGTTGTAAAGACTTCTGACCATTTATTTCATTGAGAAGGTAGGTGCTAAGTAGAGGCGTAGGTTTGGGGCAGACTTTAGGAACCAGGAATCATTCTTTGCAATTTGAAGGAGAATGTATCATTTAAAGCCCAACTTTCACTCCAGCATTCTGGGGGAACTCTCTGCCAAATACAAGCAGGGAGCAAGGTTTTGTACCTTAAGCGAGAATAAGATCTAGCTTAAAGAAGCAGAATCAAATGAGATTATATATGTGAAGTACTTCACACAGGATAGATTTATCATTGAAACTCAGGCATTTTTTTAAAGTTTTTTTTTTAACTTCCAACTGCATTTTTTCTTTTGACATTAATTTACCAGTAATTTACCTTTAAAGAGCTGATCAACAGTTGTTGTCACAATTTAGTAATAAGATAATGCACACCCCTGTTAGGGTATTTTTTCTCTGTTCCTGCTTTGTCGCTCTGAAGTGAGATATATAGGTGATTGGTTGTATAAACTATAAACTACCACTGTGTGCTTAGTAAATTGTAGACCATTTCTTGGTGGTTTGCTCTGGGATTAGCCACTTTCACTTGCTTGCCATATTTAATCCTGAAAGCACCCCTCCTAGATAGGTATTATTATTCTCGTTCTATAAGCTCAATGACTTTGGAAATTGTCTTGGTACATATACACTCTTCCAAAGTCACATTAGCAAAGAACAAAAACTGCTAAGCTTTTGACTTTTGTGAATCCTTGGGTTAACTTACTAGCTCCTTGAATTCAAACTATTGGTAGTTTTACAGTTTGGCTATGAGTGTTGACTTTCACCCTCTGCTTGGCTATGTCTAAGATTGAAAGCGCCTTTGAAAGAAGCTTGGATAGGGACAAAGAGGGATGTGTGTGTGTGTGTGTGTGTGTGTGTGTGTTTGTGTGTGTGTGTGTGTGTGTGCAGAAGAAATTGGTATTTTAAAGCCGCTATGTGCTCAGTTTTGTAACCTTCCACTCATGGAAGGTTGCATTAAGTCAGTTCATCATATTTATTGAGTTCCTGATGTAAAGGTCATTTTTTTGTGGGATGGATAGCAAAGAAATAGAATTTGAGGACTTTGCCTAAAATGACGGTTCTGTCAAGTGGATTTTTTGTAAGAACTCTTTTTTGTGAAATTTCTGATAAACTTTTGAGGACTGATATCTATGAGTAGAAGTGCATTCTGTGCCAGAGGAATGCTAGTAACTTGTCACTATATCTCCTGGATGTTCTATAGGATCATTTGTTTCTGAGAAGTTTTTTCCACTTTGCTCAAAAGAGTGTTTCCTTAAGCACAGTGCTTGGGAGACAGGAAGGGGAAATAAAGCTATATGTTTTTTTTAAAAGGAAAACTGGTATAAAATGAAGCAAGTTTTTGATATAGTGAAACTCCAAGGAATTCACAAAGAACAGGGCATGAGTACTTTTCAAAAAGCCCTGGATTTTAGGATCCTGTTTGATGGCCTTAGATGGACAAAGCCCCACCCCTCAAGAAGAATTGTAAGACAGAACACGTTAAGATTCTTTCACTTTCGAGTTTCAAACACATGTCAAGCCAAGCAAAAACAGAATAGCCTGACTTTCTGGAAGTTGATCAGATGACAGCCCAAGGGACAGTAAAGCTCAGAGCAAGCCTGAGAGCTATGGCAACCCTGAAAACCCCAGAGCATCCTGGAGGTTCTCTGCAGATCTTAGTTGATGATTAACCGCTGGACTCCAAGTGAGTCTCACTAGCCAAACTTGACCTTGTCTAAATGCCTAACTTTCGTGGCTTTCTTTGCCACTTTGGTGTTTCTTTTCTGATGCTTTGATGTTTATGTAACACTCTCAACTTAATTTGGAAAACATTTGCATGGTGATTAGTTAACCCAGCATACCAACCCTGGGAAGGAAGCCAGAGCTAACAGCACCTCCATGTTAGAAAAACTGATAATTAGGAGGAGACCATTCTAGGAAAGCACTGGGACTAGATGAGTGTCACCTCGGAAAAAACTGAGTGATGTGGCCCAGCTGTTTGGTTCCATCTTTTGAGGGGACCTAGTCTGTGGACACCCTGAGGACAGGCATGGCAGAGTCTGGGTTTGTTTTGAACAGTAGTGCACTGAAATGTTCTGAACGGTTATCTGTGGAAAGGCAGCCACACAGCTTGACCAGCACCCGTTGGTTTATGGAAGCCCCCAGGTTCTTCTCAGTTGGCTGCATTCGGCCTTTGAACTTGAGTGACTCCTCTGGTAATTGGTTCTTCGGACATCACCTATAATCCAGAGAGATTTCTCTTTATTTAGTAGGTTTTGGGCCACACCACGTTGTGCTCATAGCTTACTCCTGTAAGTCAGAGATTTCTGATCCAGCACTTGGAAAGGTGCTACTTTAAAACAGTAGAATGATGGTTCTGGAGGAGTAAGGGAGTGCTGTGCAGGGGGTGTAACAACCCAGTAATGCAAGATGGAAAAAAATGGTAGAGGATGTGCAGTGCACTGCACAATCAGTGGACAGTGTTGCTCTGTATACTTTGTTTTGCTACTTGGGGAGATTTCACGTGATGCGCTTTCAATCACAATAAAAATGTATTGGCCAGATACATGTTTTATTTTTTAGGTGCTGCCTTTAGAGTCAAGGGGCCTTGTTTCAGGTGGCTGAGGTCACTGTCTCAAGGGTATAACAGTGAGTTGGGCTTCCATTGCGTCAGGAAGAAGGTGCCTCTCAGCAGTGCACACCTCTCCTGTTCCATGGAAAACCCAGCACTTTAACCTTAGGTCTAAGCCAGAACCTACAAACCCCACAAAACATATCTTATGTTTTAAGTGTGAGGTTTCTGGAATTTCTAGATGTACATTTTTTTCAACCCAAGTGATTTGGAGACATATGACTTTCTATTTTTGCTGATTTCAGAGAAAGTGGAAAAATACAAGGTCTGGGTGGAGAAAAGAAAGAGACACCTCAGGGTGGCTCAGAGTAAAAGGTTCTGGCTCTGGAGGTTCCCTGTGGATCTATTTGATCCAGACAGTCTCACCATCTGAACGATTCAAGTCGTGTTTTTCCTTTATCTAGGCAACTAAGCATCACCTAGAGCTCCCTGGGACTAAAGTGAGCTTTGGGGAATATTACTGGCACACCTCATGGAGCTGTACCAGTGAGGTTAATTGAGTTGTTTTGGGGGGACATCATGTAAAAGATATTTAGCCTTGTCATTGGGGAGGCGGTTTTATGTCAGACATTTATTCAGACTTTTACTGTATTCTTTCGACTGTGATGGGGTATGTGAAAGTGGAACCAACAGAAATGATAGTCCCCACCATGCCTTGCAGATGCCCCCCTCTGGACCAGTCAGGAGTTCACTAACCATTAGTGCATATCAGAAGTGGCCTTTTGTCCTCTGGGAGACCTGTTTAGAGTAGCTTATAGGGATAAATGTTGTACAACTTGCATTGGAAGAGCACTGCCCATCTTTCGGTGTGTGTGTGTGTGTGTGTGTGTGTGTGTACATTGGTGAGGACAGTGGAGCCTGGAGAGCTCTGGTTTTGTAGGTTTGACAACTGTGGGCTGTGCCATTTTACCTTTTCTGTGAACTGATTCCTGAGCCCCAAGACCCATAGAGCATTCCCAGGGGGCTGGGGCTAGTGGTGGTAGAATCCTGAATGCTCCCATGACTGATCTTTATCTCTGTCCCCTGCACAGGTGAGCGCTGTGGGCTATGGGATGGATGAGGTGGAGCAGGACCAGCATGAGGCCCGACTCAAGGAGCTGTTTGACAGTTTTGACACAACGGGCACTGGGTCCCTGGGACAGGAGGAACTCACTGACCTCTGCCACATGTTGAGTTTGGAGGAGGTGGCACCAGTGCTGCAAGAGACACTGCTTCAGGACAACCTGTTGGGCAGGGTAAGTCCTGGGGATGGGCATGATAGCTGGTGGGGAGTGGATTGGGGTGCTGAGGGTGGGGTAGACCACAGGTGTTGCAACTTGTTTCTGAGAGCTGTGTGTTTCCTTACACGGTATCCTAGTGACTGGGACAATGTCTAGGGATTTCTCCTTAGCAGAGCTGCCTGCTCAGGTGACCAGGGAGGGTTCCTTTCTTTCTTGCTGGTGATATTAGGGCGTGCTGTAAGCACTCAGTGAGGCAGAGTAGAGAGGATATGCTCCCTCTCTGCTTTTTTGTGGCCATTCTGTAGTTTCCACAGTTATCCTCCTCCATGGAGGGGACTGGGGTTTCTCTGAAGAAATGCAATAAGAAAAGCACCATTTGTGGAATGAGCAGATTGCTGCTGTAACTTATACCTGATAAAGTGGTTTCTTGTATCAGTGTTTTCTGGTATGAGGTGGTTATTATATCATCCACAGAAAAGTTGGACAGAGGGTAAATAAATCCAGTGCAGGTTCATTTCAGACTCTGCACAGCCAGACATGCGTGCCCATGTCAGCCTCTGTAGTTCATAACAAATCCATGTTCTACCCAGAGAGTAAGTCAAAGATGAATCCAAAGTTAGAAGCCATCCATGCCGTTTTCTGTCTTTTGTTGTTGGGAAGGATGTGTGATTGCTCCAACCTGATTCTGCTCTCAGTTCTCACACTGGAAAGTGGCACATGTATGTTTTTGAGTTCATTCTTGCTGTTGGTTTTGGAGAAGAGCAAGAGGAAAAAGTGATGTGTTTTGAGTTCCATTTGCCCTAACTACTGATACTTTGTAGAGAGCGGTTTTTATCATGTGGTGTGAATTGAGGAAGTACTTGTGAAGCTCAACTTTTTCTCAGTGACTGAAGTTCCTTTTCTTAATTTCATTTTCACTGTCTTTTACCATTCATGTAAGTGACCCTGATCGTGTAAGTAGAACTGTCTGCTCACTGGGATGAGACAGATTGGAGGAGCTATCATCTGAAATTAATGTTTGAAGGGTGATAGTCTTAGGTGCTTGAACATGGTGTTCAGTAGGGCTCACCCTTCAAGGAAAAATTGCGAATTGTTTCCCCACACTGGAACAATTCTTAGTTACTTTGGGGAGATTAACTGATCCCTTATAACTGCTAGAAATCTTGCTTTAAAAGCAGTAGAAATGAGTCCTTTGAAGATTTAATCATTTCCCATTCATTCTCTAATGCACTACCTGGTTATCTGGTTCTGCCTCAATCTTGGATGTTGTGAGAATCCATGAAGAGTTGTGTTTCCACTCAAGTCATTGAGGATCTCAGCCTTTTGGACCCTAAGTAATAGTATCGAGGAGTGATCAGTTTTACTGCTTATTAAAGCCTGGAAAGACACATACAACTTTGAGTTGACACATCTCAACTTTTCTTTGAGATCTTGTCTTCGAGTCTGCCTGAATCTGGTGCCCTCTGCTGTAAACAGCATATTCCTTGGTGGAAGATTAACAGTTTCCTCCAGATGTTGCACACCTTTAGCCTCATTTGGCAGAATCAAACAGGAGCATTGATTGATTTGTTAACGACTTGACACTACCAGCTAGCTTTGTTCGTTTGCTATTTGCCTGTGAATAATAAATACCTAAGTGGTCTATAGTGTGATATTTACTTAGTGAGCTTGTGATAAAAGTTAAATAGATGTGTGCATATTGATTTCATTGGGTGGTCCCTGGTGATTGTCTTCAGAGCAGAGTTGGCATGAATTAGTGCATTACTGTTAAATTTGCATTTTTTATGAAATGGAATTAGTCTCCATAGATGATCACATAAACCTGGCCATATGCTCTTAAGATATTCTGTATGGCCTGTAATTTTAAATTAGAAGAAAAAAATTTGTGGAATTCACTGGAGAACTCTAAGCATTGTCATTTTCTTAATATGCTGAGTAGGGATCACAGGTTATAAAATTATAAGTTGTTTTAATGCCAGTCATCTTCTTTTTACGTGATATTTATGGAAAGCCTTATAAGAATTAGCATTTGATTTAATTAAATTGTGCAAATAGTAGTGTAGTAAATCTAAATGTATTACTCTCTGTCTGAGGCATATTACTAGTTGTGAAATATGGGTACAACTTATTTTGTTTATTACAAACTAAAGGTTTCCAATAAATTTGTACTTGGATACATAAACTTCCTAAATGTTTATTTTTAAATTTTATCTTAAAAAATTTTTTTTAAGTTTTTGGGTCACACCCAGTGATGCTCAGATGTCACTTCTGGCTCTGCACTCAGCAATTACTGCTGGCGGTGCTCGGGGGACCATATGGGATGCCAGGGATTGAACTCAGGTTGGGTACATAGAAGCAAACACCTTACCCATTGTACTATCTCTCCAGCTCCTATCTTTGAAAACTTAAGGAGTATAGTTTTTTTCAGTGTTACATTTTTTAATTTGAGGCACCCGTGGTTTACAGTACTGATGATAAGTCTTTATGCACTGCCTATTCCAACACCACATCCTCCCCCAGATTGCCCATTCACCTTACCATTGTCCCAGTGTTCAGCCTCCCTGTCCTTATCCCCTAAGAGTATAATTTTTATTTTTTTAAGTTTTAATTAATTTTTTAAATTGAATCACAGTGAGATAGTTACAAAGTTGTTTGTGATTGGGTTTCAGTCATATAATGTTTCCAACACCCATCCCTTCACCAGTGTACATTTCCCACCACCAATGTCACAAGTTTCCCTCCCACCCCACCCCTCCAGTATAATTTTCTTTTTTTTTTTCCACTTTTTGGGTCACACCCAGTGATGCACCGGGGTTATTCCTTGCTCGTGCACTCAGGAATTACTCCTGGCAGTGCTTGGGGGACCATATGGGATGCTGGGAATCAGAACCAGGTTGGCTGTGTGCAAGGCAAACTCCCTACTCACTGTGCTATCGCTCCATCCCCCCAGTATAATTTTTAAGTAAAATAAAATATCCATGTTCCCCTTTACTGGGATTTGCCCAATTTAAATAATTTTTTCTTGGAAAATAAACAAGATGAGGACCTGGGATGCGACTAGGTAGTAGAGTACATGTCCTGTGTATGAGACCTTGCCCTCAATCCCTCCTGGCAGTTTGTGGGGTGGAGGGAGGAAGAAGCAAAACAATATATTATCTTTTAATTTTTGAATTCATCTTCAGTAACTGCGATCTTTTGCTTAGTGGAGCATGGGGGCACCCAAACCATGCTTCTTTTTTTTTTTTACCTCATTTTTAGTTTTTGGGATATACCCAGCGATACGCAGGGCTTGCTCTTGGCTCTACACTCAGGGATCATTCCTGATGGCATAGGGGGACCATATGGGGTCCCAGAGATCAAAGCTGGGTAAGCCACATGCAAGGCAAGTGCCCTACTCACTATACTACTCCCTCCCCCCTCAACCGCCACCCCCCCAGTGGTGTTTCTTGACTCATTGGGTCAGCAGTAGGATCAGTGGGAGAGCCTGAGGATGTGGTGTTGCTTAGGCCTGTGGTGCCAAGAATTATCTGGGTCACCCTAGTGATGCCTCATGCTTTCATGGCTGCACTTGGTGGTTCTCAGGAACCATGTGGTACTGGGGATTGAACCAGGCTCAGCTACGTTCAAGATAGGAGTCTTAACCCCTGTACTATCTCATTGGCTCACTTTAAGTATATGTGTGTTTTTAATATGCCCGATGCTTCTTTTAATAATTGTTAAATTAATTTAAATCAACTTGCTATTTTCTTGCATTTTACTAATAAAATAACCCTAACACCCAAATCATGTTTCAATTAATATGTGTGATCTTGTAGTATAACTTAAATCTTGATCATGGTAGTTACTATAGAAGTATTTAAAATGCTTTAACATCAAAAACTGTTGGTTTGAGTTGAGAGGAAATCAGCAGTTTGTGTTCCCTGCTAGGTTATCGAAAGAGCTCCATCTATATCTTTGTTTTGGTTAAGTACCAATCGGGGGCTTGGACCCTTACCATGACAGAGAAGTCCTGTATACTGAAGAACTTGTCAGGTAACAACCCAGTTTGTAGCACTGGAAGTAAGTAATACAAATAGCCAATTGATTTTTTAATTAAACCAATTTTTTATCCAGGCAGTTAATAATTAAGGGTACTCAGGATGGGAGAAGCATGCTGAAAGTAGACTATAGACCAAACATGATTGCCACTCAATGCCTGTCTTGCAAACCACAGGATCCAAAAGGAGAGAGAGAGAACAAAAGGGAATGCCCTGCCACAGAGGCAGGGTGGGATGGGGGGTGAGAGGGATGCTGGGACCCGCGGTGGTGGAGGATGGGCGCTGGTGGAGGGATAAGTACTTGATCATTGTATAACTGAAACCCAAGCACAAAAATTTGTAAGTCTATAACTGTACCTCATGGTGTTTCACTAATAAAAAAAAATAATTAAGGGTACTTCTTGCTTCTTTCATGTCATGTTATTGTTTTTTTATTTTGGGGCCATACCTAGTAGGACTGCTCCTGGCTCTGTGCTAAGGATTCATTCCCTCCTGGAGATGCTCAGTGGATCTGTGTGGTGCTGGGGATGGAATGAGGATGAGCCAGAGCAAGTCTGACTAACCTCTGTTATGTTTTATTTTATATTATTATTGTTTTTAAATCACCATGAGATACACTTACAAAACTTTCGTGTATGAGATTCAGCCATACAATGATCGAACGTCCATCCTCCACCAGTGCACATTTTCCACCACCAATGTCCCCAGTATCCTCCCCTTCCCCATCCCAGTCTTTACCCTGCCTCTATGGCAGACAATTTCCACAATACTCTGTCTCTACTTTTGGGCATTTTGTTTTGCCCGAATTTTCCCAGCACCATTCAAGCCTGCCTGCCAGGGGCAGATTCTAGATAATTTATTTTCCATTGCTCATTTTGAATATCATGAGAGTTTGCATGGCCGCTTTGTGGCCACATGCTTCCAAGATCCTAGATTGTAGGTAGTTGGGTTCCAGAGACATCTCTGTAGGGCACTAAT